CAATGGATATAGAAAACATGATGACCCCGGCGGTATCCTTCGCCGATGTTTGGCCCTTTACTTATGCCCTTATGCCCTCGCAAGTTGCTTCCACAGTAGGCGAAACCAGGAACTGTTCAATTGCCCAAGATTGTAATGCACTCTATGAACGCTCATCATAAGGCAGTTTCCTAAATTACAGACCTCTGTGGCAGCCTCGCAAAAGGGATTTCCAGGACATGCACCCTCACCTAAAACCAGTAAATGAGGAAATAAAGGGCGCAGGCAGGTGGACACCCATTTGACGGCAACTCATTAACTGTTTCAGAGTTACTCCACACTAGGATCAACTGGCCACTGTTCCAAATCACGAAAATTTCACAACCCCCTCCCTTTAGAGAGGTCTCGGTACACCACCATCAGCCTTAGGGGAGTACCTCAAAACGATCCACCCTCCCCATCCCCCATCACCGCCTTCGTGACCGTTTCTATAGTATTTGATATAAAGACTAGTTGGTCAACACAGCCTTACTTCGCCCACTTTTCCCTCTACCCTCTTGAACGGCCGTCTAGCAGAGAGGGAGGGGAAGAGCGGGGGAAGGGGGAGGGGAACATATCTAATGAAATAAGTTCTGTACTTTCGACCACTTCATGCTTACTTTTTCAAACCCTCACCAAACTTATCAGAAAACACGCTAAAAACGATCCTCCGACCTCCCTCTCCCACCATCACAATCCATTCAACTTCCAGAAAATATGAACCCCCTTTTTTCAACTTTTGACCTCTCCCAATACGGCCCCACCCGTACTCAAATACAGTTCCCTCGTTGAGAACTGCACATCTACGGCTAACTCTGTTTTCAACTCACTGTTTCTATTTTACGTTAACGCATCGGAAGAAAGTTGATTTATGGGGTACGACAATTTGTGAAAGTAGCGAACAAATCACTCACTGTATGTAAGAGCTATCAAGGAATTCATATTCTCTAAAATTAGCTTCAGTGATGGCATTTTTCCCAAACTGGTTTTCCATTCGATGAAGCAATGTGCGAGCAGCCGACTGGCCCCATTCCAACGCTTCCTCGACGTCACCCTAATAAGGTTGGTTTTGAATTGTTTACAAATGCTAGGAGAAAACAGCTAGACGAAAGCACACACCAGCTGTTGCATAGCCAACATCTTAACAGTGTCCATTGTAAGTGCACGTCGATTCCATACGGCCGCATACTGATCCTGTTCAGCTAGTTCGGAGTAGAGCGTTCCCAGGCAGTACAGCACGTCCTGATTAGCACTAGTTACCAAAAAATGAACACCAAAAGAGGTATCCAACCAAGAACCCGAAATGTAATCAGAGGAAATGGAGCCAATCGAACGAAACGAACCATGTTCTCTTGAAGTATTGCATCAGGAGCTTGCTGTGCACACACTGTATTATTGAGCATGGGTGGAATACAGAGCGCCCGATTTTCGAGCAACAAGATCCCACGATGCCATGAATGATAAAAGCGAGAGATGTACTGCAAAAATAAATCATAAACATTGCTGAAACGAAAATTTGGAAAGTAAACAAAATGTAGCCATTTACCTGTGTTGCATTAGCGTCAATGTGAATTGGTGGATTACACTGTGAGAAAGTTTCTAAGAGAATATTGATCACTGGATGAACAGCATGGGCTTGCTGCACATGAACGCCCGATGTCATAAAAGGCACTGCCAATCCTAAAGTGATAAATGTGAATTTATAAGACGTGAACAAATATATGAAATTCATGTCATTTAAGGGGAAATGAAAACAACGTTAAACTTCCCTTGTTAGGGACTTCATTTATGTATAGATACATTATCAAATGGGGTCAAACAAAAGAGTAGCCTAGTTTTCGATTCGTGCGTGCCCTCTAACGGGAACTATGCGAATAATGTGTCCTCCCTTGACCACTGCTTCAGCTAAAGGCACATACGTTTAGAACAGCCCTGTAACATCACCTCCAATGTAATTCCTCTCCTCTTCACTCATCGAAATCCATAGAGAATGGAAGAGATGAGAGAACATGTCACCAATGAATGCTATATCATCTGAAAGCATAACCATTTAAAACTTCTTCACTCAGAAATTGCAGGCACGTAGCTGTGCGCTCTTTAGTGCTAAGCACGTTAGATCACCGAACTTGAAAAGAAATAGTTGTAACTAGAGGTTTCTTGTGAAGATGGAAGAAATACCTTGATCAATTCGCCTGATAGGTGTCCAGTTTCAGCGGGGAATGAGCGCGTCAGTAATAGCCTGGTAAGGCTCTACCTCTGCTGCCCACCGATGGATACCCTAGCTCACCATTGGGTTCTAGCTGTTTTAACAAAGACAGAGCAGAGCGTCCACGTTGAAGGCTTCAGCGCCGATTCGACTCGAAGTGGAAATCAACGGGGAAAAAGCGTCTCTAGCGAAAACTCTTCTCGACCAACTAATTCCCTGCACCATTCGGGTACATTGGCAGCGCGCCTTTCTGCTTTTTTCGGCCGGTGGGGCACGATTTTGCGAGTGCGACCGACTCACGACACATCGTAAATTTTGAGTAACAAGATGACTAATGACGTCTTATCTAGTCGGGGCACTGAAGAAGGTTTGATTCTGCTCAAAGGAGGACATCTTAGGAGTATTTTGTAGTAACTTTCATCAAAAACGGCACCCTGAGCGAAAAGTTGATGATGTGCGCCATAAGCAAAATGACTCTTATTTGTTGGCCAATACTGTATATCCACTAGGAGCTGACACGTTCTACAGTTAACAGCGAGCTCGTTTTCCTTCTCGCTACTACTAATTTTTTCTGCTCAAGATTGTATTATGCCCCCAGGGGTTTTGATTGGAACCACTCTGACTCATTGTACTTTAGTTACGCACGTTCAGAAAGGAGCAGTTTGCACTAGGGCTCTCGTAAATATCGAGTAAATAAATAAATATGTGTGATTGAATCTGAAGCAAGCATAACTGAACAAATTGCACCTTGCACAGTAAAGACCAATCCGACGATGCAATCCACTGCTGACGAGAAATCAAATGATGCTGCCTCGATTAATAAACTCTTTTGGTCCTCGAGCAGCACGTCCATTCGAGTGGACATGTTTGATTCTCCATTTCCACTGCCCTCCTGATCAGTCTCCATCGGTACGTCTTCATCAGCCTTATTCTAAACTCGACCATACATTGATCAAAGTTGCTGGGAGCAAAATAGTTGCGGATTTGTTTTACAAATTAATATGCAAACAAAGCCAGATACTGCTTAAAAATTACATCATTGTCGATTTTAGTGTTGTAGAGTGTTGATGAAATGGTTTGAACGTCAGCCTCCATATCTGAGCTTAAAGATGACGAGCGGAAGCCGGCTACCGCATGCATAGTCCTCCAAAGAGTAGCTGAGCTGTCAATAAATATACGACGATGTCCACCTGCGGAAGACACTAAAAGGACGGTATTGGCAAGAATCCGAAAAATCAAGTTAAGTTAGTTTTTATTCAGAAGAATACCTGAAGCAGGAATGCATCGTAGCAGCAACCATAATGCATGACGCAACCAAAAGTAGTCTTTGAAAGGTTTCGAAAAGTCTAACTGTTCGATGACTGGAATGTACGAATTCGAGATCCTGAATCAATTTATATCGAAGTACTTGAACGACCATTTTAATTCCTATGTGAAGTGAGTGCTTTTGAACATTTGAGTGATGTGTGCTAATTCTGAATGATCTGATTTCTGGCCTATGTACTGTCCATCTTCTTTCTCAGTATAAATATCTAAATTACAATACTCGAAATTTTGTTTCGGTGGCGGCTTTTCTTTGCACTTTTGTTGAATACTGGAACACTTCGTGCTCATTTTAGATTGAATCAGCACTTCAGATTTTCTAACCTATAACTTCGCTTCAACGGAGTAGGAGCTGAAGCTCTAATTAAAGAGAATCACGATCAGAATGAAGGTGGATAAAGGATGATACTACAGGTGCGCCAAAATTACGGAGACAACGCATGAGCAAACAATTTGAACTGATATTCACAGATGCTGTTTTCTTCTGTCCTAGTTTTGGTACTGTGGTGTAGAATTGTTTATGCTTACCTTGTTCAACCACCAAAATCTATGGTAGCTGCAGCGGTTGACTGATACTGACACCGTCCCTAAATCATTGGACTTCGACGTTGAGGGTTTTTGGCACGCGACAATTATCATCGTTTTGGTGTATACCCGAGCACTATCAATAGATGCTCCAAATGGTACAGGGGACAAGGAGCTGAATGCAGTCATTCTGGATGAGAAGGGCGTGTTTCTGTGGCGACCACGAACAATCTAAGGATTGTGTGCGATAGAATTTGCAGGTAGTTGACGCGCTGGTTTCACTGGATGTCACGAGAGATAGGAATCAGGGGGCTCTTTTGGACTTATCAGAGCCCATTGCTATCCTGAGTTTATTTTCACTTTGAAAATCGTTGCTGGGCCTTCCATCAAGTAGGAGCTCCCGTTTACGAGGCAAGGGTGGTTCAGTACTAGTGCAGCATTGATGCAGAACCGATTTTTTCGACTTTGTCGGCTTAAACGGTGGTAGAACAGCATTTCAGATCTGAGCTCGATAGGTACGCTGTCGGATCCGTTCTAGAAGCTGAGGCTTGCATAAAACACATTATGTCTAGGGATTCGTTGAAGAAACCGCTCTAAAATGAGCTTGACGAGTCCTACTCGCCACATTGCGTGCCACAGTCGATGGTTCCTCGATGTTTCTGAGGACCCGTATAAACACAAACCAAGGAATTTCAAAAATTGCATGGATGTCGACGATTCAGAATGGGACTGTGCACGTCACTGCATTTTTGTTTTCAAAGAATTGCACCTTGCTCATCCTAGGCAACTCGAAGTCGCTGTCTCCGTAATTTTGGCGCACCCTGTAGTTAGGGGGGCACCTTATGAAGTGTCAAATGACGCGCAATCCATGAAAAAATTTGACCTCGGCGACCATTCATGCCTCAAAGCTGGCGGATCCGGCGATCTCCGCCCACCGATCATCTGATCACTGCCGTAGTTCAATACGTGCGAGTGATTAGATAGCTGAGAGAGCGTAGTGTTGAAGAGGGCACAGCGATGAGAGTCGCATCAGCTCGAATACAATGCTGACTTGAGTACAATTTCAGGTCTGGGCCTTCCTCATGGTTTCCTTCTTTCATGTACCACTCACCATCCCTAGGTTAATTTGAAATGGGTTGCTTTTTCATCGTGAATTCGTCCTTTAACCGACAGCTTTTACAGATCGTCGACATGCATGATAATGAATGCGTTCACAGCTTTGTCGTTACTTCGAGTCATCTGCACACAACAACCAGGTTACTTGGACGCAATGTGTTTACAGGCATATATTAAGGTAATCCTTATTGGTTCACCTTTCTTTTCTTCGCCTTTGCAGCTTTCGAAAGGTGTCGGTTCTCGCAAACTCGTCGAAGTTGAAATCCTTGTGGTGTTGAGTGCAGGATTAGCGGGAGTCGATGTATCGTCAACGGAGACCGTATCTGTTCTGTCAATGAAGGATCGAATCTGAAATTCCCATGATCATGTCTGACCCTACTTGAAGATCGAGGAATTAATTGTTCGAGTATACCTCAAATGGGGTGCTCTACTAACCTAATCTGGTAGTATGAAGTTCTTTCCAGATGCTGGATGATACAAGGGTAGATTACTGGATGGAGCATCCTAAACGCACTGGCCGTCGCTCACTCTGTCCGACAATGTATCGTTTGGTTCGATTGAATTAAGTTTGAATGATTCTGGGTATCTGATGGTATAATTGCGACATGTGAATATACAATAAGTAAATATTAATAAATTACAATATTTATACATTAATGATAAAAATAAAAATACATAAATAAATAATATATTTGATAGTCCATAAGAGCGTAGATGCACATTGGCCACATTACTGAGCAGGGTACGACAAGAGAAGGGTCAGTAATTTCAACAATTATTTTTCATGTCTTGTTTTCTCGCTATCTCCATATAGCATACAATCTTTAATTTTTTTTAGTAGGAACTGCTGAAATAATAGCAAATGCTTGGAGATGTTGTCGTCTCGTGGTGAGCGATATAGCTGAAGCGAACGAACCATATGGCACCATTTTCCTTTGATTGAACGCTCCACTTTCGACAAAATCATTGACGTGGTACTGCGCGTCGTATCCGAATTGGTTGTGACACATCGAGATGAGGTTTGCATCTTTTCTTCTTTTTTTCCTATCTTCTATACCTAGGAACCTAACTAAAGGAAATATCTGTTGAAAAAATGCGAGATATATTCTCATTTTTTGCTATTGTGTGCCACAACGTTTCTGCAGTGAAATGCCAACCATGCGCTATTATCGATTCTCATGAGTTAAAATTTTCATAAATGAGACCGTTTTACTCGCTGTTGACAGCAATAATATCCATCAAAGAATTGCAATCCCGCCTTTTCATTTGTAATATCCACAAAATCCATTTCAAGAAACTAGAAGGGATGTGCTATCACGGATCAGCACGCCCTGTATATGCCCTTGATGCTGTCAGTAACAATTGCCGTTTTCTTGGAAATGAAACATGCGAATTCAGAGGCTGTAGAGACCACAACCCAAATGTCTCACATACATACAGTGCGTTTCAAAGTTGATGCAAAGCTCAAACTCACGTTTTGATAAGGTCCATGAGGTTCCATGCGTATGAAATCCTTCTCAATCGATTTGTCTCGTAGTCGATAACCTAATCACGGAGGAAGCAAAGCAGATAATATCGCCTCACTTTCGGAAAAAATTTTTGGATGAAATTTTTTTCTTTGTTTCAAAAGTATGTGCACACTTGAAGAAGATCAGATTTTGGCGCCGAATTTTCCACCGATTTCAATCCGACTTTGCTGTTTTCATTTCGTCATCATGTCAATTCGCGCCATACTTCTTCCTGAAGATGAGCAAGCTCAGATCAAGGTTCTGCATGATAATGAACGTTCCAATCTAGAAATCGCACGATAACTTGGTCGTTCTCCTTAATGCATTCGAAGATTTATCTGGCACCCTGATAATTATACTCAGCACACACTCCGCTCCATCCACGATCCTTGACTGCTCAGAACAACAAAAGAGTAGCACACCCCAACAAAAAAAAAAATTGCTTTTCGATCCATTGAGTCCGAGCTCAGATTTTTATTCCAGCCTCGAAAATGACCACTAAGCCCCTCATCCGCTCAAATGAATACACCACTCGACAGACGCTGAGAAAGGCTACTCACTTCAAGGCCCAGCACAAGTTAGCCACATTGGAGTCTGCTCGTACAGACATGGCAACATAGGATAGGACACCGGGCGAAGACACGGTTTTTCGAGAATTTCCTATTTTCAAAACAAGCAACTTTTTATGGACTTTCTCTCCTCAGGTAATCTTAACTCATGGAAAGAGTTCGATCTTGACGGGCCGGGTGGATTTTGCTACTACTGGAGAGGCTTGGCCGTGAGTCGCTCGTGCTCTCGAGAAGGAATTTCGGAAGAGGCCCGTTGATGGGTCTGCGGCGGTTTCGCAATCAGCGGAAATTCAGAAGTTGCCGTTCCATTATTGCGTATGAACTGTAAAGAATACCAAGCAGTGCTCCAATGTCACCTGTTGCCCTTCCTTAGCGAAGCGGAGCGAAAATTGCATTTTTAGCAACAGGACCACGTGTCTTTCGATGCTTCGCAATCTACCAAAGAATGGCCTTAACCAAATGGTGCTGAAGCGATAGATTGGCTTGTGTGTCCTCCTTACTGCAACCCTATAGGGAGCCCTTGATCAAGGCGTTAACTTTAGCAACCGGCAGTATATACCGCGATTAAACTGAGCGCGGAGGCCATTTGGCCGACAGCGACGAAACAGCTATGCCAAACGTGGTTCAGATTATGCCGGACAGGATGTTTGAGCTAATTAGAAACTCTGGAGGCCCCACTGATTTCTAATCTCAGCTATGTTTTTGTCTTTTGTTAAGTGTGCACATACTTTTGAAACAAAGAAAAAAATTTCATCCAAAATTTTTTTCGAAAGTGAAGGCGATATTATCTGCTTTGCTTCCATTGATAGGTTATCGACTACGAGAAATCGATTGAGAAGGATTTCATAGCACGAAACCTCATGGTTCCCTTTCAAACGTGAATTTTGAGGGTGTGCACATACTTTTGAAACGCACTGTATAAACACCT